AAGAACCAAGTCACCAAGGGGCATGGCTTCATGTACAGAGGTCACTATGGACACCCACCACTGTCTCTGTGTCTCTGACCACAATTCTGGGAAAGGGGCCATTGCCGAGGCCTATGCCAGCGGGGTGGCAATGTCTCCATGCAGAGTTCCTGGAATTCATTTGAATGTTTGAAGTAGAGAAAGTTTAGGGAAATGTTTGCATTACTCACACTAGTACCGTCCTTCAAAAAAGATGGGAGTTTCCCACTCTTTCCAGTCCAAGACGCCCTTTCTACTCTGCCAGGATACATGGGAGTGGGGAATATGGTTGCCCCATCCAGCTGCCTAGCCAACCCCTATATATACACAAATCTACTGATATATGTTGACACATATGGTAACCTTGGATCATTCCATAATGTCATTTAGATGGAAATGCCAGTTTGATGAAAAGTGACTATAGCAACTCCTAGTTTCAAATCTGCCTGGTGTTCAGGCAATGGCTGCAACTCTCAGCAGCTTCCTGTCAGTTAAAATGTGATTTAAACATTCTATTGTGTACCAGTTGTGTTTCCTGTTTTATAATATCCAAATTTAATATTGCCTTCCTGCCGTTTCTACATAGCAGGTGATTCAGAAAGTTACTCTGATCTCCCTTTGAGTGGGTTACCCCTACTATCCTCTCTCTCCTCTTGCCCCATGAATGAGTTTTTTCCCTACGGGGCAATTTTTCAACCAGTGGGTATACTATAAACTTTCTTCTGCTCCTTAGGCCTCAAGCAGCCTCTTAGAGCAAACGGCCTTGTCTCTATTGGTGCTGTTCTCTCCCTCCTGGTCATGGGAAGGGCCTGCCTTTCAGAGGGCAGCTTCGCAGTAAGAAACAAAACCTTCAGCCACCAAATGCCATTCTGCATGTACATGAACCTATTTCTTACACAATCTTGTAATTTCTCTCCCAGCCACATTGCCTGTTCCTGCTAGAGAGCGAGACAGCCACATTGTGGGAACACAAACAGTCTCCTCCTCCACTCAACAAATCATGATCATGCCCAGTGTGGGGTGGCTTCTGCTGCTGACATGTTGGAGGGCCAAAGAAATGCCATTTCCCAACAGAGGCAGCTACAACTCTGCTCTAATGCCACTCCAAGGTGGAAGCCATTTAGGGAAACTATAAAGCCAGCTCAGTGTTGCCTCGGCCCCAGTCTGAATGACTTTTCCCAGTTAGAATAAACTTATATGCCCCTCACCACTCTTAGCTCAGAGTGGACTGTTTGTTAATTTGTCTTACAAAAGTATACTATCTTCATTCTGAAACCAAGCATGGTGCCATGCCTCTGGGGGGACAGGCACTCAGTAAATATTGATGGATCATGTTGAGCCTGACATTTGGGAAGAAAAGGCCAAAATGGAAAAGGAGATGAAATGATGGCTTACCAAAGGCTCTCAAAATAACTGGGCATGTTGGGGCTCCAGCAGTGGTTTTTAGATGATCCTGTGGGACCTGGTGTTCTGTTGGAACTGATCCAAGTTTCCATAAACATTTGATTCAAAAAATGTGTGTGTTTAAATGTATAATATTTAAAAACTGTAATAAAAACCTCAAAAACACCTAATGTGTTACATTCCAAGGCAATTGAAGACCACCAGTGGGTTAGCAGGAGCCATCAGGTTGACTCATTTCTGTTCAAACCTCGGGAGTGATGCTTCTCCCGCCTGAACTATATTTTTGTTATTGAGGCATAATTGACATACAGTATTATATTAGTTTCAGGTATACAACGTAGTGATTCGACATTTGTATACACTGCGAAATGTCCCCTCAATAAGTCTAGTTACGGTCTGTCACCTTACAAAGTTAATTCACTATTATTGACTATATTTCCCATGCTGTACATTACATCCCCATGACTTATTTTATAACTGGAAGTTGGACTTCTTAATCCCCTTCACCCATTTCACCTCCCCGCAACTCCCCTCCCCTCTCTGCCTAAATTACTTATCAGCCTTGTCAGGCCTGGTTCAGAAGGTTGGGACTGCACTGGGATTTTACAATTTAGGCCTATACCTACCCACTTTCCTAAAACTATACAAGAAAGATACCACCTGTGCTCTGTGCAAATCAGGACTTTCTTGCTGTTGTATAGCGAAAACAATACAGAAATAAATGGGGTGCTGAGATTATAACAGCATCTGTCATCTAGCATCCCAGTTACATTGTTTAGTCATGAAAATCAGCCTCATCGTTCTCATTAACTCTATAAGTAACTGGCATACATTTGTACTTTATAACAACAAAATACTGCTTTTAATCTCATATTTTTAACATAATGAGATACCAGCTAAGATTTTGATCAAAAAGCAAAAAGATTCTTCCACCATGGAGGGAGACTAAAGAGTGAACAAATTACCAGCCCTTCGTGACTTGGCTGTGTCCTTTTAGCAAGGAGAGTGTGAGCTCAAGGACGCCAGGGCAGTGGGTGAGCACAGAGGCATGTAATGCAGCCACTGCCCAGCCACATGCTCCAGACTCAGTGCATCCTACATCTAACCTCTGTTGAACTAAAGTGATCATCTGTCATGATGGAAATCTGCAAGTGCGGTTCAGTGTTTGTTTATATAAAGCGCACGCCCTCCACCAGCCCTCTGGGTTGGTCATGTAAACAATTTCAGATACACAGTCAATATACGCTGAACATGATATATTAAGGGTCATTTTTTTTCATTTTTTTAAAATTTTTTGTTTATTGCAGTAACATTGGTTTATAACATTGTATAAATTTCAGGTGTACATCATTATACTTCTATTTCTGCATAGATTACATCATGTTCACCACCCAAATACTAATTACAACCCATCACCACACACATGTGCCGAATTATCCCTTGCGCCCTCCTCCCTCCCCTCTTCCCCTCTGGTAACCACCAATCCAATCTCTGTCTCTATGTGTTTGTTTATTGTCGTTATTACCTACTACTTAATGAAGGAAATCATACTGTATTTGACCTTCTCCCTCTGACTTACTTCACTTTGCATAATACCCTCAATGTCCATCCATGTTGTCACAAATGGCTGGATTTCATCGTTTCTTATGGCTGAGTAGTATTCCATTGTGTATATATACCACATCTTCTTTATCCATTCGTCCCTTGATGTGCACTTAGGTTGCTTCCAAGTCTTGGCTATTGTGAATAACGCTGCAATGAACACAGGGGTGCATGCATCTTTACGCATTGGTGTTTTCATTTTAAACACAGTTATAACCAAGTTCTAGGGATGAGGAGGTCAACTGGCTTCAGAACATTGCTTAGGACCTTAGGCAATTTCCTCCTATTCTTGAAAGATTTCTTTCAATATGCTTGGGGTTTGAAACAGGAGATTGTACCATAGGCTACAGGATCAAGGAAGGCCTTTGAATGTAGGAGCCAAAGCAGTACACCCAGGGCCTGCCTCAGTTACATCTTCTCATTCAGCTATTCCTCCTGCAGGTGAAAAGCCCGGGCAAACAGATGGGAAGCCATCAGAACTTAGCCCAAACCCACACTTGTCTCAGCTCATGCGGTCAGAGCTGCAGGAAGTGGGAGAAGCCCTTCTCTGAATGGGCAGTCATTCACTGGCTCTCCTGACTGGCAGCTCTGGATCCAGGTGTGAATTCCCCACAGCAGACTTCCCCCCAGCTCACAGTGATAGAACCCCTTGGGTATGATAGTATTTTCTATCAACAGAGAGAAACTGCTTCATTCCACACAGCCATGCTTGCCCTCTGAAGCAGTGGAACTATTTAAAAGGTGCCCAGTGGGGCATGAAATCTAGAGGAAATGCTGAAACTCGGGGAAGAATTTAGGTAGGTGGAGTGTGATTACTGAAGTTGAAATCTGTCCAGACCACTCAGTTAACCACTAATGCTATAAAAAATAATGCTGTGGGCTCATTAAATTACTTCATTCTACCTGAACTATTAATATTGTCTAAATCATTAAAAAATCCAATGTACCATTAAACATGAATGATGAAACCGGATAAACCCTGAGCAGATGGCCGCCTTAATGGAGCACTATTCAAAACCACGATAGTCCTCTAGGATCTGAGATGGCTGTTTTTAGCCACTGTGATTGACATAAGCATGTGTCATCAAATTCACATGGGTAGGGGGGCTCTGGGGCAACGTAACAGAAAACTGTCCTGCATATATTCAGTAGCAATTAATCCTGCAAACTGCATGATCAAACTGAGATAGCAAATGATTTAGAAAGAGCCAGAGGTATTTCAACAATGCCCTTGGTAGCCTTTCCAGAGAGAAAGAGATAAGGCAACAGCTGATAGAGGCAGCACACCAAGAGATTCCATTCTTGACGCAGGCTCTTATCTGGTCCTGCCCTTACTCAGACATTTTCTCCAAACTCAAGTTGGGGATAGGGTTCATCTCATACCACTCTGGCACTGGAAAAGTAACTGGTATCAGTTTAAGTGTGTGGTATGCCTAGTGTGTGTATGAGTGTGTACAAGCTCCAAGTGGCCACATCTTGGGCATTTTCAGATTCTGTCTCATACTGAGAAAATGGCAAAGCCTTGATGGCAGAAGAAAGGCTTCTGATGGCATCAGATCGTTTCACTGGATAGTACTGCTACTGCCCCCTACCAGCACACCAAAGGGGAAACACCCAATAACACACTGATTTGGAAGAAATTTGGAGTGGACTTAAGCATAGCTAAGCTGCCACTGGAATTCAGGTCTGACACTTGCCTCAGATTCATGGGCCAGGGCAGATTGTCCAATAAAGGCTAGACTCTATCACCAAGCCAGGATTCACGGCTGGGCAAAAAAGATGACACAGGCAAGTCATGTGGTAGGGGGCCGCCGCAGAAAGTGCCATTTCCCAAGTGCGAGTCTGGAAAGAAATCACTATCAGTTCCTAAGGATATTATTTCCAAGTCTTCAACTGCTAGCATTTTAGGAAGAAGTACCCACGAGACCAAGATCCTATGACAAGGCAGGTTAAAGAAAGAAACAACAAATGGTAACTCAGTTTTAACATTTTATTGGGTAAATGATTTTAAAGGTAATAACAATAGTGTCAAAACTACTACAATATCTTTCCACAGCCATACCTTACAGACCCACATAAACCTTCTCATTTTTCTTTTTGCTCATTTTAATATTTTAAAGCCATACATGTCATATAAAATGCCCATTTCCAATAGTTTCTTGAAACTATTAAGCAATTAAATGTGGAAGGAAGGAGGATCTAGTTATACTTGAAGGGGTTTCAGGAAATCTGTGATGTCTTACTGTAAGCAAAAAACAGGTTACTAAGAAAGAAGGAAAACAAGAGCTACTCCAGGTAGCTTTTGCTCATTACAAGTCTCACCATTGCATCACCAAGAACTCATTATGCTGGTGACCAATTCAAAATAATTTCGGGGAACATATAAAACACTAAAATAACTTAGAAACTAGATCCAAATATTTCAAAAGTAATCAACTTTGATATACAAAAACAGTCAGAGGTGGCTACAAAAGTTTATCTTCTCAGTGCGTCTATGTACCAGCGCAGTTACTGGGTCCAGAGCAAAATAAAAGGTTTCTTTTCTTCTGAAACAGTAATAAAAAAACAAGGAAAACATATCTTTGTATAGAAAGGATCAATGCTGGTCTTAAGAATAATGTAATCAGAAACCCTTAAATTGAGAGGCACACAACGGGTTTCCACTTTTTAAAAATAAAAGGAAAGTCACCAGTTTATTTAAATGGAGGAGGTGCTCACCCCCCTCAAATAAACTTAATTCAGTTTAACATCACTAGCAAAAATCACTTAGAAACTGTACAAAAATAAAAAAGTTAACACATTTAATCCTGCAAGGTTTTTGTAAGGACTGGAAGGCAGGCTTTTGGAGCAGCATTTGGGCATGGCTGGGGGCTTCTTTGGTTTGATCTAACACACATAAGAGATGGAACCTATTCCAGATGACAGTTTCAAATTTCCTGCACATTTGAAGACATGAAAAGAGGCCAGTATACAAACTTGTGGTGTGCTGGGCATTGGGACTGTATGCACTGGACTGAAAATCTGATAACTGCTTTAAGTGGGGTGGGGGAAAAGAGCAAGCCTGGCACTTCCTCCATCAATGACACCGACCTCTCAGGGTAGGGGGACTGGAGCGGGCAGTAGCACATTCTCGTGCAGTCAGAAGGCCACTTAATGGGGGTGGGGGGAGCAATTGTTCTTTTAAAATCTGGTACCTGGCTGATCTTGTTTAAGAACAAGAAAACCCTTCCAGAAATGGAAGCCTTTTGCTACATACCAAAGTAAAATACATACTATTTTCCAAGAGGAAAAATACCCAGGTGCATTTGAAAACAGAAAACATAAATGGGACTAATTAACATTTAAGGGGGGGCTATGTAAACTTTGTGCTACTCAAATGAAGTTCAAGTATTACTTCTGAGCTGTTTAAAGATCACTGAACTCATACAATATTCTGGTGATAAGAGTGCAATTCACATTTGTGTCTGAACAAATAAACCACAACTGGCTAGAACACAACCTGTGCAATTAGAATCTTCGTCTGAGTTAAAAACACATGCTACATATTTCAACATATTCAAAGTTAATTCAAACCACATATTTAACAACTTTGTAATATACGACAAAGGTGAAAGGGTCTAGCATTTGTTTGAAGCACACCATTACAGTTTGTATAACACCCTTTACACTACAAAGTCTTTTAGTCAACAGCTACTTAAAGACAAAAATGCACTGTGCATTAATTTGAATACAAAAGGAGACAAAACTATCCTTTTCCCCCAAGCCATGGTGGGAAATATTGCTGACCTCGTCCTCTGAAGCCTGCAGGATGGTTATTTCTTCAGTATAACATTATTACACTGGTAAGAAAATCTGTATAACATCTGCATATATCAAGAATTTTAAAAAATCTGATATGATTTTAGAGTCCGCATGACCAGTCACGTGACCTGCTCAAGATTGATTAGCACCGTTAAATACATAAACACACACATATGTATGTATGTCTGTATGTGTGGGTATATGTATACACACACACACATATGTGTATGTAATAGATCTTTTCTTTAAAAAAACTTCTAAGCATGAGCTCACCCAGGATGAGGAGCCTGTTGAACTGATGAGATGATGGATAAGATAGATCGATATTGGTCTACTTTGTCTCTCTTCAGTTTGCTTGTTTTACTTACTTACTTTTTTTTTTTTTTGCAGCAGACAATATCATTCAGCTTGTGCTCAGTTTCCCTATAAGGGCAAGAAAAAGTTTCCGTAAGGTAGCCACTTGTTTTTATACTGAAAGACTAATCTGCTCCAAAATGCTCCCAAGTAGAAATGAAAGGACTCAAAATCCCTTTGTAAAGCCCAATAGCTAGCTTTCTCTGCCACATCTCTAGGTTCAATGAAACTGGCTACCGAGATTGCATTTCAGGCTAACAATTGGCTTCTTAGTTAAGGCATCACAACTGAAAATGGTTATTTCAACAACGGATGCTGTGGATGAAGGAACACCAACAAACTTCTAAGAACTCTCATCAAAAACTAAAGCAGTTTGCTCTGCCACAATGGCAAGCAGAAGGAATTCAGTCAATTAGCTCACAAACTAGAAAAGGGTTTTTGAATTCTGAACTAGCAGTCTGTTACTTGTCACAGCAACTATATGTATAAGCTATGCCATTTTGATATTCAGTGACTTCTCATAGTTTTAGACTATATATTCTGCACCATTCTTATAATTCATCACTTGATATATTGGTTTCCTGTTTGAAAAAATTATATATATATATATATATATATATATATATATAACACATATATATATATATATTTACTACCATAAAAATGAAGATGATCTTTCTCCAGAATCATCTGTCATTTTTCCTGGGGGTATACATATGGACCTCCTATTGACATGAGGAAGTTCTCTTTGTATGCATCATGAGAAGACTACCCCTGCAAGTAAGCTGGGCTCTCACTGTATCATATCTAAATGCCAACTCCATTTCTACAGGTGCAACATCACATCTTTTCAACATAGTAAATGTGTTTCTATCAAAAGTATGTAGTGCAGAAAGAGATTCAAGCTATTTTATAGTATTTCTAAAACTCCAGTATTGTCCCCATGACAAACAGCTGAAATCATAGTATATATGAACTTTTGTTTCACTAGATTATCTCTACCATTTCTTTAAATGGTAGCTAAAATTGTCTCTGGCCAATCATGACTTATTGAGACCTAAAGCTAACAAATTTAAATTAATATATAATAGACAAATGTCTTTTTTTGGTTATTTGCTCAAAATAAATTTTCTCAGCTTATAAAAATACTTAAGAGTAAAGAATTTGTCTAATCTGTTGTTTCGCATATAGAAACAATAAAATTTTACAAGAATATTTCTTTAAATTGCCTTTTTTCTAACCCTTAATTCCACTTAATTATATTCTTCTCAAAGGCACTAAATTCTGTATATGCTCTCTTCCTGATATTTGCTGCTCTTCAAAAATGACTTCTGTAACATTTGAAAGGTAGCTTGTACTTTCTTAAAACAGTGTTTTAGTTTGTAAGTGGGTTCTATAAAGTGATGAGGCAGTCTCTCTTGTGATAATCAGCATAATAGGCATCAATGATTTCTCATTCTCTGTGACAAGCCCTAGTACGGACTTTCGAATGTTCTACACTAGAACTAAAGTTCATATATTTTAACCATGGGAAAAACATATACTTAAGGAGTGAAGAGTCACATACTAAGCTTTCATAGCAAAATGAATTTTAGACAAATTCAAGAGTAATATACAAATACCTGAATTTGATATGAATTACTCCCAAACTCACCTATCAAAAATTATCTATCTTACTGAGGAAAACTAAAGAAAAACCTAAACAAAATCCTTAAAAACTGCACAATTTCTTCCATCCACAGTCGAAAGAAGGAAGGAAGGAAGAGAAGATAGAAAGAAGGAAGGCAAGAAGGACAGAAAGACAGATACCTGATTGAGATAGCAAAGCAAAATCCTATAGCATATTGTAAGGAAAGAAAACCTCAAAAGTTCTATATGCTGCAAAAAAAAAAAAATCAATGATCTAAAATAATAAAACAGGATCTTCTTAACAAATGCCATTTTCCTACCCGTTACCATGATGATCTTAATTGACGATGTCGAAGCTTCACCATGGCAACGGAAACTATCATCATAAAATGGTACAGTAAAAGAGATAGCTAGACCAAGAAGGGGTAGGGTCTCCTGGGAAGAGGTCTGCAGCAGAGAGGCCCAGTGACTGGCTGTGCGGCTCAGTGTCAGGAATAATGGTTGTATGGCGGAAGGGGATGCCCAATGCCATTTTGGAAATGATGATGCTGGCGATGAGCAAGGTATTCAGCATAGCTCAACGTCATCTTTTCACTACGGTACCTGAAAAAGAGTCAGGGAAGAGACAAAGTTAACGTCAAGTAATGGGTGACATGCCAATGTCAGAGCTAGGAGGGAGCTTAGAGATAATTTTATAGATCAGGAAACAGAGGCCCAGAGAGAAGCAGTGACTTGCCCAATGTCACACACAAATAAATAGCAAAGCTGAGATCAGAACCCAGGAATCCAGAGTCTGAGTCCAGTGTTATTTCCACTCTACTACTCCTTGTACAAATTGTTCTAGAAATTTTATTGCCCCCTCAGCCCTGGTTTGCTAGCAGGAAGGAACAGGGGAAAGCCAACCTATTACATCATGTATGCATCTCATTCACTTGACTATCTTTTCTTCCAGGATCTTCCATCACTCCCTCATTTGCCATTCCTTTCCCTCTGTCCACACAGCTACTCAGGTCTCGCCATTAAGTGAAAACAGTAACAACAAAAAACTTTTCTTAATCCTGGTATGCCAGAGCCTCTTCTTCTCCATCTCTAGCTTTCTCTTCATTGCTACACTTCTCAAAAGAGTAACATGTATTTTCTACCTTCAACCCTCATCTCACACTACTCCTCAGCCCAGTGCTGCCTGGCTCCTGCTTCCCCTCTTCCATGGAAACTGCTCTTTCAGAAGGCCCTCTCATTACGCTTGACCTCTCCGTTATAATGCCACTCACCACTCCCTGTTTGAAGCTCTCTTGTGCTATGGGTTCTATAATCCCACACTCCCTTTTGTTCTCCCCAGCCTCTCAGACTGCTCCTTATCTCTCTAACTACACATCTATCCCTGCCTTGTAGGATATGCCTCTGTTTCTACCTCCAGTTCTTTTAATCCTATGCTCTGTCCCCACTCAGTGAACCCTATCCTCATAACTTCAACTATGTTCTCTTTACAGATGATCCCAAATCACCATCTCCAGCCATGAGCTCTTCACACGTACATTTTCAGTGACCTAATGAACACTTCTATACAGATATATCCCAGGAAGCACTTCGTATCCAGAACAAGGCACAAATGTGACTCTCCTCCTGTGGTCCCTCCCTTGGTTAAAGGGATCACCTTGGTCTCCTATCTAGATTCAAGTCTTGACTTGTTCCTCTTCCCTACTGCTGAATGATGACTAAGTCCTTTCATTTCTTCCACAATAATTTCTTACCTGTTCTCTCCTTTCTTCCCATCCCACTACCACAGCTCTTGTTAAGGGTCCCATTTCACCTCTTTTGGATTGCTGTCACAGATTCTTAGATAATAGCACTATCTCCTAACTAATTTTCCTGTTTCCAATTCCAATCTTACACCTTCCCAAATCCATCTGTTTAGAACCTTTCAATGGTTACCAATTGCCTATAGAATAAGGTCTAAACTTCTTAGTCTGGAACTCAAGACCCTCCATGATGTGACCCAACCTACCGTCTGGGTCATATTTTCCTCTAATGATCATCTTGTATATGTACACTGAAAGACCAGCCAAGTCAGACTACTAAACATTCCTCAGAACTTGCTCAGGGACTTCCCTACCTACATGCCTTAACTCACAAAGTTCTGTTTAAGTTAATCCCTTGCCTCCCCCACTCTCCACCTGTCAAATATTCTGCCTGTTCTTTAAGCCCAGCCTCAAATCTACCTCCTCTTTGAAATCTTCTGTTATCCTCCACCACCTCCTGGAATTCCTCTTTCCTTGCTTTATGATCTAACATCATTCATCACATTCTGCCTTATATTAATAATTATTTTTGTATATGCCCTTCTATTTTCCTAGACTTTGAACTCAGGGAAAGCAGAGATGGAAACATTTTCAAATTTGTAACTCCTCAGAGCTGAGAATAGTCCATTTTTAGACTATAGGCATTCATGTGATTTTATGGAATTGAAATAAATGGAAACAGCAACTCATTTTCCTAAAATGTTTGTTATTCTCCTTTTAAAATAAGTATCCCTACTATCCCATGCAGAAATTTATTTAGCATTTGTGAATCTAGCTCAATTGTGTTTTTCAGCAAGCTTTCATGGTATACTTCTATCACTGCCAAAATCCTAAGGTTAAATTCAAATTTGAGATTGCTTATCAGAATCCCAGGGTTCCACTAAGCAATGTTAAAAGCTAGCTAACAGCTAATTCAGGTAACTTTCTTCAATAATGTAGTCTAAAGGCTCAGAGGGCTTGCTCATACAAAGCCAGAGTAATCACACAGCGCTAAAGATGGGCCCATACATCATACAGGCTTTACTGCCAAGCAGAGTTCCATTGTATCCACCCTCAGTATGGCCCTGCCATTCATTTCCACTCTGTTTCAGAAAAGAGAAGCAAGTACAGTTAGAGAGACCAAAGACATACAAGGGTTATAGGCATACACATCAAAAATGTACTGGTTAGCCTTGCACCAGAAAATGCCTTCTGTACCTGGTCAGTTTTATGGTTTTCCTGAATTCATTAGTAATCGGAGCTTTGTATCCTCCTTTCCTCAGTAAGGAGTCTATGGTCTGAATATGGTCCCATCCTGTGGAGAGTAGACCAGATAAAATACCAGTCAAGGCCATGTAACAAGCACCTTTGGTTAAATACAAAATGACTTTGTAGAGGTCAGCTATCACTGTCACCAAATGTTATCAACTCCTCTGGTCCTAAAAACAATCACACAGAAGAGCTAAGATTTCATCCTGTATAGAAGCAGGTACACCACCGCACACCTTAAATTCTATCTATCCATAATGGCTAACAAAGTTGGCTTCTTTATGTCAACCATATTTGAAGGCAAGGAGTCTAAGAGCTGGCAGAGCTGGCAGTAACTCCTCAGTCACGTCTCAGTAACAAACTACAAACACTGTACTCTCCTCTAAGAGGAGAGTAACTCTACAGTGACATCTTTAAAAGGGAGGGAAAAGCCGAAATGTTGTTGGGCCAACTCAGTAGTATTTTGGACTCGCACACTAACTCATGGTAACTGCTGTTCCCCATGGGATCTTCTGTAGTCAGTCAAGTGTATTTGTGTGCAGTACTTAAGGGCATTTTTATGGTTCTGACAGGGGACGGGAAACTACATCCAAGGCCCTCTCTCTCTACGAAGTTAATGGAACTATAGGATTGAGTCATTTTCAAAAGCAACCCAAATAAATCTTCAGATAGCTGCCTAAAAGACTAACTCTCTCGTTTGGGGGTTTAATGATATTAAATTTTGCTGTTATGTAACTTACATTTTTATGAAACAAACATGGGAAAACCAAATTACATATGCTTTCTGATGAGAAGAAAAGCTCATAAAATAAAGTAGAAATATTCATTCCAACTAACGGGAAACCAGAATTTGGTAGTTGCTAGAAAGGACAGGATACTACAGAGTGGAAAATTATCTTGTGTTATAAAATATAACACAAAGTGGTGGTTCATAAAGGTTTGTGCTATATCTATCTGCAAATTAGAAACACGTTTGTTGATTAGGACGTGCAGACCAAGCAGAGAAAACACTGATACTTCGTGTATCTATTCTCAGTGTTCCTAATCTTAACGATAAACCTACAATCTTAATAGTAGAAGAATGAGTAATGGCAACCACCTAAGAATGAAACATTTGATACTGACAATGAACTGTGTGGCTGACTGTCAAACAAAAGGCTTGTTTATGCCACAAGGCTAGAGCACAATGGAATATGGGAAAATGGTACTTCAAATTCACAGCAAACCATTGCCCAGAATAAAACCTAACTTTTACAAATCTTTGCTTTTTTCAAAGTATACTTTTGTGTGTTTTTGCTGTCAAACTTGTGTGCAGAGATTCAACTTCTGTGTGAGTAATTCACCGATTTCATACAGACATTGCAGTGGCAGTGACGAAAGAGTCATTTCTTATAATGTGACATTAATCAATTATCAGACATAACTGCAAGGTCAGATATCGCATTTCAATCTGTATATTTGTCTAAATTCTTCACCAGATCATATGAAATAAAGTACAACAATGACCTTGCTCCTTTGCAACCTCCGGTAGGTAGGTGGCGGTGCGCTTTGATCCTTTTTCATTGATGAATTCTATTCTAATGCCATGTACACCCACCTGAAAGAAATTGGCAGTTTTATTAGTACAGTCTTCTTCATAGAAACAGAAAGAACAACTTATAATTTAACTTTCAAGAGAATGCAGTTCTTCCTTTCCCCTTGTTTTTGGAAGCGCACATCAGTTTTCTCTTTCCAAAGCATTGACTTTGGGTTTGAAGGCCATTATGATGGCTGTGAAGACTGAAAACATTGATTTGCATGTGTCCAACATGTGCCTGGCTACGCTATTCTGTTTCAAACTGGAATAACCATTCTGGGGCTGTGTGTAGAGTAAGATAGTCGATGGCAAGAATCCTTCCCCGACTCCCAAATTGTGGCTCATGACACTCAAGACTAGACCAAGGGAACTGACTTCAAAGAGACAGCAAACAACCATACTATTTTCAGGTACGATCACCACTTCAGATTAAGTTCTGAAACTTCTGGGGCTGCTCACTCCCTTCCCAAATTGTCTAGTTTCTTTAAAACCTTGAATTATACGTACATAAACAAACACAGATAAGACTGAAAAATATCAACTAGATCCTACATCATCACCCATTACAGATAGTATTTCTAAAAAATATATTATGGCTTAAAGTGGACCAATGGCAAACCCTCACTGTCTATCTACATCCTTGCCCTCACACACTACTGCCAAATTTAAGAGCAAAAAAGATTTCAAATCACTTTGGGGCAGGACATTTTTGCACAGTTTCTTATATACTAACCAAGAGATGACTTTTTTATGTGAAACAACTTTTGGTGATGCCCTAAAAAAGGTAGTCTTCTAAATAAGTGTGGGCAATTTCTTGCTAATGTTTTAAGAAAGTAATATACTTTTTCTTTGATTAGCATCCAATCAAAAGGAATCTGTCCTTTCCCTTCATAGCTCATATAGAATAGTGTATAGAGTTAATAGTGTATAGAGTTAATGATCATAAAAAGTTAACTTCTTTGTAAATATTGATAATAAAAATAAAATTTCAAAAGCATAACAAATCTATTCTGTTCTCCCAAATCTATGGCTGCTTTACATCAATGGCTCCCAATTGGAGTGTAAGGTCGTCCAAGGTACTGGACAGAAGATGTCAAACCAGGTAAACATTTTTAGCCAAGAAAGAGGCTTCTTTTCAGAGCAGGTAAGTGAAGTCATAGACCTTTACTCTTTCCATTAGTATGGATACAAAGGTCTAGAAGAGGAAAAGGGGTCCCTGAAAAGTTAGTTTGCCCTTATCCTGAAATTTTCCAAGTTTTCAGGGAATAAAAAATCCTCTGGAAAATCCATTTCGTCCTTTCCCCGGGTCTTCACACATCCATCCATTAGAGGCTGTCAGATCTTCTGAGCAGTTTATGTTTTTTATTAAAGCCTATCTTGATGGCTATTTCTTCTATCTATTTAATATCAGTATTCTTATGAATCTCCTTCTGCTGAAAATGCAATTAGGGCAGCTGCTCAAAAACGAACACACTAAGGCCTCCTATAGCCTGTGGGAAATGACTATGGACAGCTGAGAAGAAATATGAGTGCTTAGCTATCAGGCATTTTCAGGATAAAGGACATCTACTAATCTCCCCAGCGCCTGACACAGTACTGAGACAATGACAAATCTCCAACAGTTTCTGTATACTGAATTTCTGATCAGGGACTTCGAAATTTTTTTCCTTGAACAATATCAGATCCTTCATAATTTGTTTTTAAAAATATACAGCATAAATAATTTATGCTCCTATCATTCACTGAAGTGAATTTTGCATCTTCAACTCAATTTATCAAAAATCTGTCATGCTAAAATTGAAAAGAATTTTGGTGTTTATTGAGGTGTCTAATCAAAATTGTGAGAGGAGGAATGTTTGCCTATCTGTGAGATAAGTGAGAGACTATATCAACGCTGTTTAACTGGTATGGTGTGGGGATGGGGGTTGCACAGCTTACCCGAATTTCAGGAGGTTTCATGCTTTAGCAAGTAGAGTTTGGAAAAAGAACAACTCCCCAGGTGATTTTTATTCTGGGTTAACTAGATAACCTCTAATAACCAGTCTAGCTCTGACAAACCGTGGCTATGTATTGGGGAAAAAAAGTGATTTAGGCAAATTGGAGGTGATTTAGACAGATAAATCCTCTTTTCATAAGAGTACATTCTGTGTTCTTCAACAAAAATTTCAGAGATTTTAAAGCTTAGTAATTTAACAATTAAAAGAGATTAAGACCAACTGTATGGTACATGAATAATATCTCAATAAAGCTTTTATATAAAGAGAAATATATATATATATACGTTAAGACCAAATTAAACAGACATGTTGACTAAACTAAAAATTATTCATGAATAAAATTTATTTACTTTTGTGTTTTGAAAAGGCCCCACCATCAAATTTGATATGAAAAAATTATCAAAATTCTCCCATTTTGAATATCACATTTACAATTTTTAATTCATTTTTGTGTTCCTATGATTCTGAACAATTGAAAGCTCCTGTAAATTGAACTGTAAGTATGGTGATTTTAAAGTGACATCTTTGTGAGAAATAACTTATTTCATAAGTTAAAAACATACTCCACAGAGAGAGAAAGCCAAAACCAGAGTGACTCATTTTTTCAACTAGCGGAATCAGGAGAATGGTAATAATGTCCTGAACAGAATCAAAGCATAATAGCTTTTTTTCACCTGTTGAGCAACAGCATTTTCCTTACTCCCTGAACCACAGATGCCACCAAATAGTCATACTGCGCAATCAAAACAGGAGAATGGAAAACGGCCTGCTGTGGAGAATGACCGAATCTGGCCAACCTGTAGAAATCACTGGCTGTGCAAATTAAGTCACCTCCACTGAAATGAACACCAAAACTAATTCTGTATTGTTTGAGGGAGGCATTATAGCTGCAACTCCAAAATGTAACGCCTGTGTGTAATAATCGAATCCTTCCTTAGACAGATTGGAGAATCCTTTGGCCCAGCAGCATCCCAAGAGACAAAGGCTATAAGTTGCAATAATCAGCTAGATAAGAGATCAGCTAACCAGGGAACTGGGATTCCCTGAAGCAAATTTGCTCTAAAACTCTATGGCAGTAACTTTCCATTTCTAAGGATGGATAAGGAGGTAGCATATGGAAACTATGTCACCAAACATACCCCTAACTACCATTGCCCCAAGTACAGCCAGGTGGGCAAAAACTAGAGACGTGCAAATCTAGCCTTTTGGGAGTCTGCAGGTCATTTTCAAAATTATTAGAAGGTTTGAGGAAAAAATGCTTTCAAGGTCCATAAGCTGTGATAATATCCTTTTAATCAAGACTGTACTTTTGCTAAGCAAATCTATAAATCAACTGAAATGGTAGTAAATTAAATGTAGGACTTATAGATAAGAGGATATGGAATTAAACAGAGCTGTATCTGTGTGTGCTGAGAGAATATTAAGACCAGTTCAATAGATTCCTATTTCATGCTAAAAAGAAAGCCATGTTTATTCTGAACCATTCCATAGCAAATACTTTTTATTAATGCTATTATACAATCTTTTGTTTTTAACATCACCCAGAATGATTAAATATCAAGATTAATGTTAGGACCCTAAAATATATCTTGATTATTCTGGAGTTGATTATTCAGTTTGGGGATTATGTATCCCCAACTCCACCTGGCCTCAGCACCATCCTCTTTCCTCTCTTGTCCATTTCTCTATTTGTTCACTCCTCTATCAGGGAGCATGTGGGCAGAGACAGAAGAGATACATGCAAATTAATCAATTTTGCTACATAGTAAAAGGTTTGGTAGGAGAAGAGATTATAAATAATGGCTAAAATGAAGCTTCTAGACTGTCTGCAGATTTCATTTATCCTTGTTATCTGGTCCCTTGTTAGAAATGTGGCTTCATTTAAAACTACTATCCTCTAATGCAGTGACTCTCAACATAGGAGCATTAAAAAAAAGTGCCCTCTCCCACCCATTGTAATACATGGTTCATATTATGCTCCGTACAACTGCACAAAGTTTAATATACCATAGACTGTCTATAAGGCAAGTGTTAGTCCTGTAATCCACTAGCAGTACTACAAAAGGGTCTCACTTTTACCTGTGAGCCTAATCAGCAAGCCAACAATCTGGATATGATGAAACATGAAAAACAGTCATCTGGCTAAAAGCATCAATGAGTATAAAATGTGCTCTGGCTAAGCCGAGTAGGCTCCACACAAGGCTTGGACCATTTGGGTCCACAATTATCTCCACAGTCCTGACCCTCAAAGCTAAATCCTCCCCGATCACATCCTGGCCAATAAAACCAATTTATTTCCTCAGGTTCATCCTGTCTTAGCAAATGCCACAGTTTGTCCCACTTTTCCCCATTTTCAGAACCAAATATTGAGTTTCTGTGTAAGAGTATGGCCACTCCACTGATTTTCAGTGGGTTCACCTTGAATAAAATAAAAAATATCAGGAGGTCAAAGAATCGAAGGTTGTTTGACATGTCTTTGTTGATGATATCATTTGGCAAAATATGCTTCGCAATTAACAAAGCAGCCTGTCACTGGTCATTCCCATAAAACTGACCTGCCAGGCTCAATATGCCAGTTGCACTGAATTGAATGAAAGGACTCTGTTCCTAATGAGAAGAGCTCAGGATGTTTGGCACACTCCCTAACATTTAGAGGCTGGCATCATAGAAGACACACATGCTCTCTCACAGAACAGCCTGTGGTACCACAGATAGAAACAAACACTTCATTGGACAGTCCATGGGTCTGACCCAGAGTCAGGCATTTCTTATATTCTTAGAAGGAAAAAACCATATGTGGTATTTCTCCTAAAATCACAAAAATCATAATGCAGTGTGTTCTACTCTTTCACTCATAGCCCCGCAGTACCTTCTGCCCCACCTCCAGCACAGCCTTGTGAAGACAGTGACTCTTCCTTTTTCCAATGACAGTAAATTCAACATAAAAGCGGAAAATACTCCAAACTTGGTTCTACTCCAGGTTTATCCTACTGAATAATTCAAATTTGGGCAAGAAAAATTGAG